AATTGGTCAAATCGTTAAGCGGTCACATTCTTTTATCCAAAGAGTAGTGAACAACTACAACTAAACAGGATTATTGGTCTCGAAGTTGGGATCTGGGCGTCCATCTAAGCTGTCAACAAGAGAAACCCGCAGCATTATTAATTCAGTGAAAGATAATCCTCGTCTAACTGGCCTTCTGTTATAGAAATATATTGACCAGACATTCCAGAAGCAAATTCACGTGGATACTGTACACAAAATATTAAAAAAATACCACTACTATGGCCGGTTTGCACGAAGCAAGCCGCTTATCTCCAAAGCTATTAGAATGAAGCGTTTAGCATTCGCAAGGGAGTATTTAAATAAGTCTCTAGAATATTGGAAACGCATAATTTTTTCAGATGAAAGCAAATTTTGTCTCTTTAGCGTTAAAGGTCGAACGATTATATGGCAAAACCCGGGTACAGCCTTTAATAATGAAGATTTGTATCCAACAATAAAACATGGTAGTGGAGGAGTAATAGTGCGGGTGTGTATGGCGAGTAATGGAGTGGGAAAAATAAAATTTATTGAGTCGATAATGAATAAAGTTGATTATTTAAATGTTTTAAAATGCAATTTAAAGAGCAGTGCCCAGAAGTTGGGGTTACAGAATAATTACTTATTTCAACAAGATAACGACCCAAAGCACACGGCAGAAGTTGTGAAGCTTTGGTTGCTTTAAAATGTGCCCAAGCAAATCAAAACGTCATCATAATCGCCATATTTGAATCCTATAGAACATTTATAGGATTTACTGGAGCGTCGGATACATGAATACAATGTAACCTCCAAAGAAATGCTGAAGAACGTAAGCGACGCGGAATGGGGTAAAATAAGCAGCGATGAGACTGCGAAGCTGGTCAATTCGATACCAAAACGACTTATGGAGGTCATAAAAAGGAAAGGTTATCCAACAAGTTACTGAAAATATAAAATCTTTTAAAAAATTATATATTTCGACGCTTTTTAAACTCTTGTACGCAGACTTTTTCTGTCACCGATAGCACTGATTTTTCAAATTTTTAATTATTATAATCTTTTCACTAATCTGTTAGAAATAAGTTTTAGCTTAAAATGAAGATAACAAATAAAAGTACTAATAAAAAATAAAATTGATTATAAAAATTTATTTATTTAGTAATTTTTTATATGTTGAAACAAAATTTACTTTCTGTACGCAGAGTTTTTCTGCTAAGTGTATATCAATGCTTTTTTTCTACTTCAAATTATAAATCAAATTGAATCAAAAATCTATAAAAAAAATAAATGTAGGGCAATTCTTCAAAACTTCGGAGAGGCATTATAAATACAGACTCCATCACAATACAAACCAATATATTAAAATTAGACAGGTGGTCGTGGTAGATAAGACTATTTGTATTAATGATAATTTAAAGCATATGAAAATTGTAAGTATATATACACATACACGCTATATATATCTTTTTAAATTTATAATTCTAAAGTACTTTAAATTATTATTGCCTTAAATAAAGTACAACTTGAAACAAAATTTTATATAATTTTAATGTATGGAATCAATTCTTATAATACAGCATATCCATTTAAGTCATCCAATATTTTTTGTCCTTATTAGATTGATATAGTTTTTAAAATCTTCAAATTTGTCTTGCGATTAACTTTTTATAAGATGCTGATTTTAATTTGAATTATAACCTGGAGAAACAGGAAAACTCCAAAATTTGATTGAGTTTAATATGTAGAAGAGTAAAGAAATATATCCATTAATGCTTTTCATAATTAGTGTTTATCAATACCGAGTCGAAGTCTAAGTTGCGTTAAAGCTCAAGGATAATTAAAAGGCTGAAGTGACCTTAAATTTGTACGCAGTTGAGTTTAACTTTGTAAAAATTTCGATATAAGATATAATTAATGTAAATTATAAAATTAATGTTATTTCATATTTATTTTGTATACTTTATTTAAAAAATAAATCTGTTTAGTCAAAACACTTCTGTACTTTGTGAAGTTCACTTAAAAACTGATGTACTTGAAGATATTGAGGTGGTCTTAAAATTATGCAAATCACTGTATCACTAAAAGTAGCAATATAAACGATATTAACAGAAAGATAACATATATTATAACTTATAAACTTATTAGAACATCTTCATTTTAGTGTGATATTATAACTATTTTTTATATCTTTAAATTACAAAACTCTAGTAGCGAAATTTCAAAATCATAACCTTTTGGATTTAAGTAGACTAATTTAGTATATGTCAACTAAATTGATTTGATTCTTTTACATTATTACTAAGCTTTCAAAGTTGTGGAAGTCATTTATACTATTCAATATTATCCAGTTATAAATTAAGTTGCCTTTGTAATTTATATATAAACATACTTATTGTTGCACTAATCTCTTATTTACAATTTGTTCATAAAATCATTCATATTTTTTAATATATATTGATTCTGTTTGTCGTTACTATTTATATTTTTTATTTTAATCCGTTTTTTTATTTATAATTATTTATTTTTATTTATAACATTTCTAACCTTATTGTTACTATTTATTCTCATCTTCATGTTCTTCAAAAAGATGACCATTCTTCTGAAACTGCGATCTAATATTAAATTTTTAACATATGTATCCAAACAATCCGCCAAAAAGTTTTTGCTAGTTGGAAATTATAGACATTGTGACAACAATCATATACTATACTTTAATAATAAAAAAGCTGTCAGTGTTTAATAAAGTCTTGCAGTTATTCTCAATACTTAATCGCCAAAAAGATACTCTTTGCAGAACACATTTTTTTCCAAAAAAAAATTATATCTCCAATTCTCAAAAAGATTTATTCAAAACAAAGTCCGGTTTGGAATTATGCTGGTTAAAGCAATAACCAATAATTTGGACTGTTAACACGGGCCTAACCGGCACTTTAATGTCATGTTGATAAGATAATTCTATTAATTATTGCAACAAATCTTTCTGACAGCTAAGTGTATATGTAAAATTGAATGTTTACTGGTTCCACTTATGTCCAATGACACCTATATCTTCCGGTGTGTAACATGCCAAACCATCCTAATAACTTCTTGTACTACATCGATGTTTTCTGGTCATACAGCCATACTTGAACGACCTTTACGAAATTCTTCGTGGAGAAAACGACGACTCTGGATTCATTGAACCAACGTTTTACAGTCGCTGCATGTAGTGTTCCTTCATCGAATGTCGAACTAAGTTGATCGTGAATAATGCATTCTTTTCCGTTCATTTCGCGTTAAAAATCATAAAAAATCACTACACGTAAATGTTCATTATTTAATTTGATTTTTTCGCAGACACCTAATTTAGAATCTGAAACAGAGACTAAAACATTATAATAACATTTCTGCTTAAAAATGTCAAACTTTCAAATAAAAATGTCATAATTTATCTGGCAATACTTAGTATTGCCTGGGCGCAAGACTTAAAAGGCGGACCACATGCTTGTAATATGCTGTGTAGTTTTAAAAGTTAAAATAATCTAAAAGGCCCACTTAACAGCTATATGTTTTTAGTTACCCGATTTTAATAATCACAAAAACAGCTTTTAGTATTTTATAGTATTTTAATGCAAATTCACAAACTATTCAGATATAACAGCAGAGTGGTGTATTAAGATGGGTGCTGATACAATGCTAGATTTATGACAGACATTTGATTGGTGTGGTATTGTATAAAAGCCTTTTTTTAGCGAATGACTAAAATTTTCTCACATTCTTATCACATTCTGTTCTGATCCATACACAAACGAATTTACAAAACTCTATGAACTATGAATCAGGATATATCCAGGTATCAATGTTTTATCTTTTTACATACACCAAGCCAAAGAAATATAACGAGTACATAACATGGTACCGGCGAAACCCTAGATGATTCTTAATAATATCGTAATGTGGATCAATTATCCAAATGTGACTTAGTCCGTCTAAGTCATATCCACGACTAGATCTAAAAATCTGACTATTCATCTTAAAGAATACTGAACAGATTAATAATTCTTTTAAAATAATTTACTAGAGGTAAGAAAAAATTTTATTAAATTTAAAACCTGTCTAATCTTCATTTAAAATTTAATAGTTTAGTTTATATTTAGCGACTTTTTATTGAATAGAAAATATTTTCAGCAAAAGTTAATTAGATTTAATCGGTTTGATTTAAAAAAAAATATTCTTTTAGTCAATTTTAGACTAAATTAAGTCAAAAATTCTGAATTAAAGATGTGGAATTATGGTACTTCACTATAATCTCTCTTTTTATATTTACTTCTCTTCAGAAATGTATGTGGATTCGCGATTATTGGAACACGTACACATTCTCTTCAAAGGGTTAATAATTCAAAGTTAGGCTTGCATTCAATGCAAGATTTTGGTACTTTTATAAATTAATGATAAAATAATAAATATAAATAGTTGAGCATCTGCCTAAATGGTAGATTACCATAAAGAGCTCGCATTTTCATCACAGCTTCAGAAATCACAAAATATAGTGTGGTTTCTCAATCTAAATTTCAAGGCATCGTTAAACCACAAATTTACCATTTATAATAACAAACTGAAACCCATCTAGAGTCAAAGAGTACAGCTATCATAAGTTTGTGACATGATACAGATCTATGTATATCCTGATCGTTAATAGATATTACTTCTAATAAATGTTCGATTACTATTTTGAACTTTACTGATTCCGAATATATGGCTATACACTAAACATAAAAACTTATACTAAGATACAAGTTTGTTACTCTGAACTAATATTTAAATCTTCGATTTAAATCTTTAACCAAAGTAAGAAAGTAAAAGTACTATATTCTTATTCATAGATCTCTAATTCTCACCGAGATCGTTACTTTGTAATAACGATTACTTTCAAGTGCCTGAAAAAGTATCTAGGAGCCTTAACGATAATAAATGAAACAAAAATTTAACGCTTTTATTTTATTTATTTAAATTTTTAAATGTTTAAATTAACACAAAAATTAACTTATTGATGAGCACAGAGCAAAAGGCACTTACAGGTATTTTGGTTTATAAATTAGGTTGAGTATTTACACGTAAAATGTAGCTTAGATTATGAATAGCATAAATAGTCATTTGATATGAAGATTGTTAAGGACTCGGACTTGATATATAAATTTCGACTTTAACAATTATTGAAATATTTGTATTAATTATAAAAGATTTGGTTAAAATGCAAAGAAAATTGTAGACTAAAAGAGAGAAGTCTTCTAAATATAATTTAATGCAAATGAAATGAGTTTGTAAGACTTCCAAAACAATGTTCCATTGCTATTCTTAACTCAAGTGATGATGACGCCACCAGTTTGAATTGCGAGAGGTAACATAGTTCTTTAGGCCTTCTTTATCCTGCAACGGAAATAGATGTGGTCCATTGGTTTCGTAACTAAGTCCATTATGCTGATTGAAGACATAAGCACTTGGTATGGTCTTCTCGCCGTAATCAATATTTGAAGATGGTGACAAATATGAACGAGTGCCTATAATAACAGGTGTAGTGACTGTGTTTTTAGTTATGTCGCTGACGTATTGTTTATACACAGGACGTTGCTTTGGAATAACAACAGTAGGTTGAGGTACATAGCCATTATTACGTATATCGCAAACGGTGTTTTCTACAAGTGAACTCAACGGTGCATTATATATGCGGAAGTTGACATCCTTATAATCCAAATCAGATAGAAGAAATACTGGCATACGATCAGACAGCACCCAAACATTTTTATTCTCATCAATTTTTACGTCAGCTGGAAAAACTAAGCCCACATCATCACGATCAACAATACCGTGATATTCTGGTGCGTATGGCATCGACGAATGCCAGCAACCAACTGCATTTTGGTCAATCAAATTAAAGAGTTCTATGCCATCATCACTCATGACACGTGCAGTTGTGTGTGCATTTGGACCGCGCTCATCCATTAGCATAAAATCATGATAACTGTCTTCAACACGATTCTCATCACGCAAGATGCGTGTCGATACCGCGAATTGACGA